CTATGGGCTTGAAGTTGGCCTTCAGTGTTGTACGCCACATCCCTTTTGATCTTGTATAGTTCTAGGGTATTCCAGAATCCAGGTGTGGGGCATTGAGGCATGGGCCTTCTTGTACTTTGGACACCAAGCAGAGGACTTTGTTGGATCTCGTGCACGATGGAGAGATCTGTGAGGAGCACCGTTCCTTCCGCTCAAACCCCAGTCGCTCTCGTCTGCTCCCTAGTAATACTGCTCTTTATTGCGGCTACATGACTATGCATAAGTTCATTAACATATGATGTCTTGCACAGGCATACATGTGAACAAAGAGTACCTTGTGTGTGTGCGCATGGGCGTGGGGGGGGTGTCAAGATGTGACCCTGTGAACGACTCCCTAAAGCTGGTGCCAGGAGTCCAGCGGTCCACCTAAACAAAAGGCACTCATGCTCAAACAGATACAAAGTAGGTCTCCTCCTATACCATAAATCAGAAAGAGAAGGTGTGACCTCTCTCATGACCTTAAGATGTGTGTGTATGCCAGAATGCTCTGGGAGGCACACAGAGTCTTTGTAGACTGCTAAGGATCAGACATCCTATCAATATGCAATCGATTATAAAACTCTAAGCATATATGGGTATATATTTCTAAGCATAAATAACAATCAACAATATAAACCTAACACATTGTTCTTTTAGTGATTCTAAGTTCTGGTCTAGAATATCTTGTCCGGGCTCCCTGACCCAAAGAATTATAGAAAACCCATTATCTGTGTGTAAGCGTGTTTGCAATCAATCCTGTGTACTCTACATAATTCTTACAATATATCAGTCCGGACAGTCACACCCTGTGTTGGGAAGGTTACTTTTAAAATGTATTCCATTACAGAATACAGAATACATGCCCCAAAATGTATTCTGTAACGTATTCCGTTACGTTACTCAATGACAGTAAAGTATTCTGAATACTCTGGATTACTTAATATATTATCATGCTTTTTACAACAACGTGAATGTACTATTGCTGTGTGATTTATTACTATTACTGAAGGTCCGCGACTCCGAACTGTAGTAAAGGGACCTCTGACTAATACGGCGGGGTCCCTGTCGGCTCGTAGCCGAAAAATAGCTTTACTTTGTTGTGTGGGTCAACTTTTCTTGCGAGAGACAGAGAGAGGCGTTGAAAGGCTGCTCCAACGGAACTTATTGTTTTCGGAGGAAAACACGAACACGGTGTACAGTCGAGTCTTAATAGCTTACTTACAACTGGGCTCGTCAGGCACTCTTCTTGGCTGCAGTGGTTATTATTATATTTACATGCTTCCAGCTCCCGTTTTTGCTCGATGACAACTCGTACCTTTCCACTCCCCTTTTTCTCCCTCCTCGCGCTCACAGACCCATAACGTGTATGGCAGTCCATTCTCCCTGCAGCACGGACTACACTGCCCATGAGGCTACATTCTTTAGAGCTATGCTTGTAGCATTCTGCCTATTAGCTTAGCACAACAACAACAACAAAAGGCGCTCTCTCACCCAGGAAACACGCAGAGAGAGAGCGTCACCCTGTAACCATGGCAACCGTAACGCTGCCGCCTGGAACAACAGAACATAGCTGTCAAACAAAACCCAAACAGTCCTGACCCGCGACAAAATGAAACAGGAAAGTACCGCAGTGTAATCCATTTGTTTCAACAAAGTAACTGTATTCTGAATACCACCTTTTTAAACGGTAACTGTAATGGAATACAGTTACTCATATTTTGTATTTTAAATACGTAACGGCGGTACATGTATTCCGTTACTCCCCAACACTGGTCACACCGAACAAAGCTATTGACCTTCAAAAGACTGAGTGCCAACTCATATGAGCACATTTTTGCAATGTGTATATGAAAATGATTTAAAGACCTTTATTTAGTAGAAAAATCAAAAAATTTTCAACCCTAACACAACCTACTCTTGCAGTCTCGGGCAACTGCTCTGTCTACCAGTAGCTGGTGTTTTGCGCCTCTGTTATTTTTGCCATATTTTATAATACTATAAACATGATCAAGTGTGTAGTTTCTCCTCATCAGACAGTGGGCATTCAATTCATTTCACTTTCCTTTATACAGTGCAAAAATCACAACAACAGTCACCTCAAGGCGCTTCATATCATAAGGTAGACCCTGCAATAATACAAGGGGGGAAAGAAAAAAAATTGATATGTTTATAAAATTTTTGGAGGACACTCTTTAAATTGACTTTAAATTGAAATAGTCTGCTAACACAAAATCCATCAGGATGAGCCTTCTTTTGTTTGCTAATAGAAAACATGTAGTCCGTAGCTTCTGTGGCGTTGGGATGCAGAGGTATGAAAACAGCAGTAAGATTGACAATGTTAAACTCTCATGGCATACACTCCAAGTCCAGGGAGCATTAAGTGTTAGTTATTACAGTTTATGTTCACCAGTTATGAGAGTAAAAACAGAGCCCCACCTCTACTGCACATTTTGTAGTCTTATTTTCCTGCCCACTGGATGTACTAAGCAGCCTTCTACCTTAATAGGCTCTGTTGGTATACTTGATTTGAGCCATGTCTCTGTGAATAACTTGACAGTAGTCCTGGATTTGGCAAGTTACAATTTCTCAGTTTTGCAGGAGAGAGAGTGTGCAGGTCAGGCCAGGTAGTTTTGGCCTGTGTGGCTGGCTACCTACCTGAAAAAAAAAAAACAAGGGACGCCTAATTGGCCAGGGCTGGGCGACCCGATTGTCTTCACCCTTTCCAGTGTGGGGAATTTCTTAGCTCTTGTTTTTGTGTGTGTAATTATTTTTTTAACCATTAGACAAAGTGCATACCCTTTTCAACTCAATACTTTTGTTTCTAAATACGGAACGATTCCGTTTTTCAAGGGACCGTTGGCAATCCTATCTGCACCTGTTGCTCTTAGAATTGAAGAAGCTTCTCAGATGAGAAGTAAAACGTCTTCAAGAGACAAAACTTACAGAAGTCCAGACGCATACGTTCCAAGCTCCTTAGACTATGATGACCTGGATCACTGAGAACCTTCAACACACCTACCTTAGCTTTTATCCCCATTTGGCATCCTCATTTCTGCTTTCTCTCTCTACACTGCCTCTGTCATCTGCCAGGATCATAATGCATGGAGGTACCAATGGTCTAAAGAGGAATAAGTCGAACACATGGTTTCTTGGTATCGAACCAATGGAAAGCAGCAAGCATGGTGACTGTATGATGTGTATGTCTGTGTATGCGTGAGCCCCACTAAAAAGCAAACTAATAGAACTACCAGGAAACTCATCACAGAGCACCAATAAAAATGGTGGGCAACTGCAAGTATGCGTGCCACCATTTTTGATCAATAATTTTACATCTGTTCTGTTCACAGTCATCTTCATGTTGCTCTTTGTAGACCAGTGGATTGTCAGTGTGTCCAACATGGATCTGATGTTTGGCTCCATGATTTCAGTCTGATTGGCTCATTCATAAATATTCTGTTCCAGCTGCTGGAGGACAACATC